TCAGGTTTTAAAACATAACCCTGGAACTAGCATTATTACAATAATAAATACAATTGAATTTTCCAAATTTTCTTAGTTGTTAAATGTGGGCTGCCTTCACACTAAGTGCCATATGAAATTCTTAATGGCAGATATCAGGTTAAGATTCTTTTACTCAACACATACGGAGGATGTGCCCCTCCTGGTTCCTGAAAGAGGAGTGGGAAAAAAAATCTTACAAACATGTACCAACTTTAAAAAGCTTGCCATACAATTGCAAATCAAATAAGGACAGCATCACAACTAGTGGGGCTTCTTCCTCCTACCTTTCTCCTCAATCGAAATAAAAAAATACAGTGAAGTGGGTAAATAAAGACACCTCCACAAAGCTAGTATAACAAAGTGGATTATTCCACATGGGAAACCACCACAGCAAGTCAACATTCACTTCCCCCAAGGATTTTATGCCTTTGACCTCTATGCATAACATGGCATATCACATAATTGCACCATAGAAAAGGTGATTAAACAAAAGATCTACTTGTCTCTTAACTAAATGACGACTTGAACTGCCTCAGTAGTTGACACACACCATAAAGACAAGCGTAAGCTATGGTTTAGAAAGGCATGACTTTCTAAAGAATTTGAAAGAATTTGAAAGGCATGAGGAGAAGGAAACAAAAGCCTCTATGAGCCAATGTCCTCAAATACAGTACAGTGATCCCCACATCTGCATCCCTGGAAAAATGATACAGCAAAAGTGTCCAAAATAAAATGACTTAAGGCATCCTTAACTAAGAAAGATGTGCTCACCTCTGTAGGTCCAGGAAATGTGGCATCCTTTCTCTCTTCATGGGGCTCCAGGGATCTCAGCTCCAAGAGTAGAACACAAGTCCTGCCTACAAGTCTTCACCATGAGTCATCATGCCCTGTGCACAGTGGGCGGGCTGGTGATCAGAAAACTAGGGATTGGGCTTCCCTGGTGGCGCAGTGGTTGAGAGTCTGCCTGTGGATGCAGGGGACACGGGTTCGTGCCCTGGTCCGGGAAGATCCCACATGCCGCGGAGCGGCTGGGCCCGTGAGCCATGGTCGCTGAGCCTGCGCGTCCAGAGCCTGTGCTCCGCAACGGGGGAGGCCACAACAGTGAGAGGCCCGCGTACCACACAAAAAAAAGAAAACTAGGGATCTGATGGATCAGAAGCCTGAGAAGAAATGCTACACTAAACACAGGACGTCATTGGGCTTGGACCAGCATAGAACAGCTACGATGAACATCAGGGGAAATGATGACAGTTCAGGTAACTTGGTCAACAACCACTGGCCAAAGCCAAGTAGCTGTTCAATGTGATAATTTGGTCGATAAGCGGATTTGATCAAAAATGAATGTGTGCAGTTATTGTTTTTCAACTATGAGTAAATTTGGTGTGCTGCTGCTCCTGTATTGCCCTGTCTCCCCATCCACCTAACTGCACAAGGTAAAATCAGAATGGTTTTGCAAGTTAGGAAGACACATTTCCAACAACTGAGCATTCCTTGAAGCAATCTGATGGTTCTCCATTCCTTGGCACAAAAATGGAAATGCAGTCTGACAAGCTTAATATGTTTGAAAAACAAAGAAACACTGCCCAACACTCAAAAGCCATGCCTTAATTTTTAAGTAATGTATTACAAAAACAATAGCATGCTCACAGGAGAAAATAAAACACAGAGAAGCAAAAAATGGAACATAACAGACATCAAAAAGCAACATGGCTGGAAATAAGCAAAGTAACCAAAACATGATTAAACCACATGTTTGCCATGTAGATCCTTCCTTAGGCATACATATTCATAGAGTATTATATTTTTACATGACAGTTTACATACCTAATACATTAAGTATCAGACATTTAAGTTGTTCCAATTTTGCAATATGATGAATAATAGTACAGAGAAGACATATGGGCTAAAAGTTACTAAATAGAATAATGCAAAGATGTAGAAAAATATGAAGTGGACAAAAGAAGTTTTGCAAAACATATGACAGTTTAACAAACTGAAGAATCAGAAAATATTAGTGATTGAGGAGTCTCACATTTAACAAAATTGTCATTTAAACCTGCTTATCTACTTGCTTTAAGTCCAAATATTTTCGATCAACACATGTGCTACAAAGAGTTTGATATGTATCAGTAGGACTCAGAGGCTTTTTACATAGATTCATTACATAAATGATTGTTAAAGATTAGACTAGATGAGAAGCCCAGTGTACTCGTCTACCATGGCTGCTGTAAAAACTTTCCAGAAACTTGGTAGCTTAAAGCAACAGAATGTTATTCTCTCACAGTTCTGGAGGATGGAAATCTGTACTCCCCCAGAGGCTCTAGGGGAGAATCCATCCCTTGCCTTTTCTGCCTTCTGGCAGCATTCCTTGACTTGCGGCCACATCACTCCAATTTCACTGCCTCCTCTGAGAAAACTCAGTTCTGCTCTTAAGGACTTTCAACTGATTAGATCAGCCTCCCTTCAGACAAGCCAGGATAATCTCCCCAAGACCCTTAATTTAATCACACCTGCAAATATTCTTTGTTCAAATATGATAACATTTATCAGTTTTAGTTATTGGGATCTGATATCCTGGTGGGGGGAACACTTTTCAACCTACTACACCTAGTATTCACAGAAATTCTTCTAAAACTGTCTTGAATTTGACCCACTATTTCTCATCGGAACTATATTAGTCCCCATGTTTCCATGTCTACTCTAAGGATGCAAAGTATAGGCCTCGTATTTGAATGCCTTTGCTATTGTCCCACGTGAAAATATCATAGGATCACCTCCCCAGACGAAATTAATTCCTCTTGCTCTATTTCTTGTTTATTGCTTGGTCTTCCTGTGCCTCCATCCACACAGCAAGACTTTGAGAGTCATCTTTTTTCATGTTACCCACATCCAATCGATCCCTGAGCTCTGCTGATGCTTTTTTAGTTCATTTCAGATCAGTCACACTCTCCCTCTCCCAACTCTGAATATTCTTGCCTTAGCTGGAGGTGGAGGTGGCAGGGCTCAGCTGGCCTGCTGCTGGGCTCTGCCCTCCACATCTGCCCCCCTTTACCCATTCTCTTTTCTGCTGTCAAGTGACCTAAAACTTTCTAAATCTGAACACCTCGCTTCCCTACTTAGAACCTTTGAATGCCTCCGATTACTCTCAGACTTAAGTCCAAATAGCACAGACATACAAGGCCTTTCTTGATTTGGCCTCTCCCTACCCCTGCAACCTCATCTAGTATTTCTATCCCACTCCCTCCATCTATCCTAAGCAATTTGACGTAATTTCAGTTTTCCCAAAGTATCATGATTTCTTTCATTTCTATATTTTGGAACATGTTACAGGTTTCTGCCTTAGGGGGCAAACAAGAAGACAACTCCTATTTATACTCCACAATTTGGCTAAGAGAACATCTTGTTTAAGAATGTATCCTTATACTTTTTGAATAGGTAAATTTTATACAGTAGTATGTGAATCATATCTCAATAAATGGTTATTAAACAAGAAGAATGCATCATTTTCAATGATGTACCAAAACTCATTTAGCATCATATACATCTCCTACAACTTTGCAAGCCTCCCGCACCTCCCTCTATAACATTTATATGATATTTGCATCTATTGGCCATCTGACTCCTGAGGGCAGGACCCTGACAAATTCATCTTCATTTTCTCCTCAATTAATATAATGTCTGGCACAAAGCAGACAGTAAATGCTTATTGAATGAATGACTAAAAGATTATAATCCTTAAACACAGTGATACACAGTTGAAACAAATTCTAATAAATCCAGCAAGTGTTAGAACTGAGTTTATCACCTGGATTGAAGTCAACTGGGTATCATTTGTCACTTAGAATGTAAATTACCCTAAGGACTAAATTACTCTTAGGATTGATCAATAGCAACCTTTAAATTTCAAAGCACAGGCATGTACAGGTAATTGTGCTTTAAAGCAATGTAATCATTTCCCAATGAAATACATCCTTTGTCCTCAATTTTAATTCTAAGAGTTAGTATTCATATTTACCAATCTGCATGCAGGAATGAATTACCATCTGGCTACTATAAGCTGTGTTTAATTAGCTTTAAAACATTTTTTCTAAGAGTGTCCGTCCTTCCAACTTAAGCACCACTAATTTTCTTGGCTGCCACACTATAGAACAAATAAAGTAAACATATCCTTTTTAGTGGGGCCAAAACATTCATTACAAACACTTAAAACCAGCATCCACACCCAACCCAAGCGTCTTCATTTCTTTGCATCACCAAATATATAAACTTTCTTTTTCTTTTTTCCTGTTTTCAAAGCTTTTTCATAAATGGTAAAGATCAATCTTCATGAGATATATTACTAACAACCAAGTTTTCATTAATTGTCAAAATAACAGAATAACATAATGCTATATGTTCTTAGTTGGAAGAGAGTACAGCCCAGAAGAATTATATACAGATAACATGGGCAAACTTTAGACACATAATCTACTGATTACTTTCCTAACAGAGTACATCTCCTGGCACAGCAAACCTGGCTTCCTCTCCACCATTCAGCAGGAAAGACAGAGGAGTCAGAGAAAAAGGAATAAGGGATCTTTTCTTTCCTTCTCTGAGCTGATGGGGTGGGGCGGGAGAGGGGATAAAGTCTCACTCAGTAACTCCCAGTTTTCTATCTGCTGGTTTAGGAGGAGAGATTGTATCTAACCTCCACTATCTCACTGCCATAATTCCTTGTCTCAGCACCGTGCTTATCTTTTTTTAGAACTTGGTGATTTAGACTCATCACATAAATTTCCTGCTAGCAAAACTCTTCTCAGTTTGTAAAAGAGGATTGAATATTTTAATATTTTACAGTATTCCACAAAGAGCTTCTACAATCCTAGTCTGGAAGTCGCTGAACAAGCATAGGGCATCTGGAAGGAGAACTTAAATAGTCAAAGGATTTCATGACAGGAGAAGGACGTCATCCTTTAGAACTGAATCGAGAAGGTACTCACAGGCTCACCCCGTGATCCATCCTGCCCTGGAGCACCTGGAGGTCCTGCTTCTCCCTTTTAATGATAAAAAGAAATAGAGAATTCCGTTTGCACATATGCTCACTAAAATAATAATATGGGACATTACATACTAAAGCATGTTAAATATAGACAAAAACAAAAATTACTTCTGCATTATTTTTTTTCCTTTCCTTTCCTTTAAAAAAATTGAAGTATAGTTGATTTACAATGCTGTGTTAGTTTCAGGAGTACAGCAAAGTGATTCAGTTATACATATATATTCAGTTTTATGTATATTTTTTTCAGGTTCTTTTCCATTATAGGTTATTACAAGATATTGAATATAGTTCCCTGTGCTATACAGTAGGTCCTTGTTGTCTGGATTATTGATATCAACTTTTCCTGACATCAGATAACTCATTCTGAAATTCATAAGGTGACTATATAAATATCAAATCTATACATGACAGCAGATAATTGAGTTGTTATAAAATAACTGGGGTACTTGTATACTTCTTATGAGAATAGGATTATTCTTCTCTTCAAAGTAAATGTGACTTATATCACATTTATATCAGTCTTTTTCATATCTATTTTTATTTTTACTTTAAAATTTTTCACCTGTCGGACATAATGTGACCTTGCCTCTCAAGAGTTGCATTTTAAAATCAAAAGAAAACTTTCATTAAGAATGCAGCTATTTATAGGTTATTACTTGAAATTATTTAGCACTTTAATCCAGTATCTATTTAAAATAAACATCTATAATGTGTATTTTAAGTAGCTGTTCAAATTATAATAGTTTTCAGTTACATATCTTTAAATTACTCTGCTCAAATTATTTACGCACCTTATTTTACACCCACTTTCTGGAACTCTATAAGTTTTTCCCAAATGAATCAATTGCTAGCATGTAAAAACGTATCTGACACTATGCCTACTAAAACAATAAGTACTAGCTGAATTTAATCCTAAAATGTATAATATCCACAGATCAATACAGCTATTAAAATGCCTGGACGAAAATAAACAGCGGTTGGGGAGAGTCCCTTGAAATAGACACAGACACACACCACACACACACCCTCAAACATTTAGACTTTTTGAAACCTATCAGTCATCAAGAGCCTTGATACTGTGTGTCTGCCCAGCAAAATATTACATCTTAACAAGCAAAGTTCTCTGCAAACAATTGTGCCACACTTGGCATTGTACCAGAGAGAACATTTCATCCTACATGAGAGCAAGAGAGAAAGTAAAACAAAAATGAAAATATTTTTCTTGTAAATAACTCAAATACCTGAGTCAAAATAAGTTTAAGGGGGAAAAGGTCTCAGAATACATGTGCTGAAGCATATGCCAACACCATTTTCCATAGTTTCATATTCTAATGAACTCCCCAAATTGTACAAAATGAACCACAGAGGGAAGGACCAATAATACTTGGCTAACACAATCAGCCCTTAGGAAAAAAAATCCAGCCTTATCACATTATATAAACACTGCTTCCCCCACTTTTATGAATCCTTGCAATTCATTGGCACAGGGAAATACCAGCTAAAGCCAAATATTTCATCTGTTCCAATTTTATTTACAAACACTAGATGACAGTTGAGGATAGAAGGGGAAAAGGATAATGTTTTCCTGTAAATTAACCAAACTAGAGGGCAGGGAGGTCCTGCCTACCCAACGGTTCTACAGAAAATCTTATGAAAATATCATAGAAACAGAGATGGATGTTAGATTCACAAAAGCCACAAGTTAAAAAGCCTAAACGATTAGAGAAGAGGGCTATGGCAGGTCCTAATGCCAGAGGGAAATTATACAATAACAATCCTGAACTCGACACTCACAGCAGTAGTCAGTGCAAGCAGCTTCGGGCAGGAAAAAACTCTTTGCAGGAAAGAGCTTTCTGCAGGGGGCACCCCTTTGTCTGACACTAACCTTACACCAGGCACCCCTGTGTTCTACTCATCTCTGGCCCTAGCACACCTTTCAAATCTTTTGATCACATAATACTTTGCCTAACTTGTTGGTTCTTTCCGTAGATCAAAGAAGTAGAAATGAAGAATAAGTAATTACCAGATGACCAGAACTTTTCCCTAGCTTCCCATTCAGTAATCTTGCAAACGTGTGAACGAGATAGGATCTAAAGAAAGATCACGAGGAGTTGACAAGTCTGCACTCAAGCTGGCATACAGTGGGGGATGGCAACCACTCTGACCCCCTAGTCCAACGATTAACTGAGATTACTTCCTGTTTCCCTTTAAAAGCTTTCATGGCTGAGCAGAATCTTCGGAGGTGGTTTTTGGGAGGACACTGAGTCCATCATCTCCCCAGATTGCTGGCATTCTGATTAAAGACAACTTTCCTCTCTACCAACATTTTATGAGTATTGATTTTGTAAGTGGTGAACAGCAGGACCAATTTGATAACATCAGGTGGAATCACCCGTGTCAGTGGTTCTCAAGGATGGTCCCCAACCCAGCCAGATCAGCTTCGCCTCACTGGGGAACTTCAAAATGCAAACTTTCAGGCCTTGCTGCAGACCTACTGAGTCAGAAACTCTGCATGGCAGGGCCCAGAAATTTATGTGAACAGCTAATTCTGATGATTTGAGAACGATGGCAGAGTTGTAAGTCATTAGGTCGCTTAACTTCTCTCACCTCCAGGTACTGTCATATGTGACTGTCATACTTAAGCAAATCTGTAGTTTAGATCATTGTTCAGCAGGTGTCTCTATATAGGAACTGTTTTCCTGGCTTGCACATTCTTTAAAGGCAAGAAACACATCCAATATGAGGTTTTTTTGTTTTTTGTTTAATCACCCAGAATACTTAGAATAGTGCTGAACACAATATACGAATATATGTAAGACTATATGTTCCCTGCTTTACAACCATTGGAGCACATCAAGGAAGGAGGAATGGATGATTTATTCTTAAATACTCGATTTTGAGAAGATAAAGGAAATGGGAAAAACATTTGCAGGTAGGGCTATCGCATATGCTGTTGGATGATTATGTGGTGTAATTACGACAAGATGATGGCCAGTAATCTTTACGTAGGAATGTTCTCTTCATTCTTTTTTTTTTCTTTCTTCATTCTTTTAATAATGTTTCATTGGGATATGAAAGGATGATTTCTGCTTAGTCATTTTCCATACAATTATCCAGTGTGATACACAACTAGTATATGAAATTCAATACTGTCACCAGAACTTAATCTGATCACTTGATTGCTTTTATGACCTGGAGATCCTGGTATGAACCAATATGTTTGGCTGGTGGAGAAAAAGGCATATAGCATGTCCTTACCTCTAATTTATCATTTTGCTATTCTATTATTAATTCCTTCTTGATATAAGATAATTGAGAAAGTGTCATGCTAACATTATTCCTCAACCCAGTCTCTGCAGCTAATGTCAAAGATGATTTATTCCACAAGAAACCAGTTATTTTTAAAAAGCAAATTTAACCCAAAACAGATGTGAAACTTGCATTGCTTGTGTATTTCCTTTCATGTGGTGGTCTTTGGTACTCACCCAGAAAAAAATAAAAGAATGGGGACTAATTTAGTTTGTGGCCATTGCAATCCTCAAAATCTGGTGGAAGGTGTGTGACCATTAAAATAAGAGCCTTTGTGAAAGTGCCTTGCACAGCTCTAGAAACAGAAGGAGAGATCCAGAAAAGTTAGCTAGTCTGCTGCCACCAAAGAATGGGAGTTTTAACGGTTCTTTACTCGTACGATTTATTTCAGGATACACTATTTTCAAATAATGTTATTTTTTAATTTGTACCACTATGGTTTGGCATTATAATTTAGGCAGAGTGAATTATTTTTTAACTGCTTGAAACACATATTGATTATTTCATAATTTCTGGGGCCAGAAGTCTGGACATGGCTTTACTGAGTTCTCTGTGTAGGGTCTTTTTTTTTTTTGCTGTACGTGGGCCTCTCACTGTTGTGGCCTCTCCCATTGCGAAGCACAGGCTCTGGACGTGCAGGCTCAGCGGCCATGGCTCATGAGCCCAGCCGCTCCGCGGCATGTGGGATCTTTCCGGACCGGGGCACGAACCCGTGTCCCCTGCATCGGCAGGCAGAATCTCAACCACTGTGCCACCAGGGAAGCCCCTGTGTAGGGTCTTATAAGGTGCTAATTGGGAGGTCTGCTGGGCTGTGTTCTTATCTAGAGGCTTGACTGCAGAAGTATCTTCGTCCACATTCACTCACTCTGTTGGCAGAATTTGTTTCATTGCCACCAATGGCTACTTACTTCATCAAGCCAGCAAGGAAATTCACCAGAGCAAGCAGGCTCTAAGTGGAGCTTTTCATAATGTAACATCATTACAGGAGTGACATCTGTTGATTAGAAGCAAGTCATAGGTCCTGGGCACACTCAAAGGTAGGGGTTTATGAAAAGGCTGGAGCACCAGGAGGTGGTGGCCACTTTCAGTTCTGCCTGGCACAATTATTGTCACATATCCCTGTAAGGGTTGTACTATTTTGCTTTGCTTCCAGCAATGTATGAAAATGCCTGTTTACTCACAGCCTTGCCAAGCAGACTGTACTATCAAGCTTTTGAACTTTTGCCAAACTAATGGGTGGGTTATTGTATCTTAGCATGGTTTCAATTTGTCTTATTATGAGTGAAGTTGAACATCTTCATACATTCAAGAGCCATTTTACATCTTTTTGGTTTTGAGAATTATATATTCATGTCTTTTTCCCTCTCATCTGTGTATTTATTTTTATTGAAATATAGTTGATTTACAATATTATATTAGTTTCAAGTGTACAGCATAGTGATTCAATATTTTTATAGTTTATACTCTCTTTAAAGTTATTACAAAATAACAGCTATATTTCCTGTGCTGTACAATATATCCTTGTTGCCTGTCTACTTTACACAGAGTATTTTGCATCTATTAATCCCTTACCCATATCTTGCCCCTCCTCTCTTCCTTCTTCCCACTGGTAACCACTAGTTTGTTCTCTATGTCTGTGAGTCTGTTTCTGTTTTGTTATATAAATTCTTTTATTTTATTTTTTTT